TAGGTACGTACATTTAATTGGACCGGAGATAAAATAACAAAGTAACCGAGTAAACGGCCGCGTGTTATACCTATGCATAAATTGGTGTGTGCACCGTTTCAATATTATATTATTTTGTCGTGGGACCGGCTGCGACGTATACTAATAAACGTTTCGGAGCAGCGCCAATTTGGTGGCCTCGGCACAATACAATAGAATAAAACTCACTCACCCCCGACAAAACACATAAACGAATTTATGCGTCAGACTTACGGTGATATACAAAGCCAATTTACCGCACACTATATTATAATATTGTATTATAAATTATAATGTATATTATGTTGTATAGCGCCGCGACGACGTTTAATTATTTGCCCGCGTTCAAGCGGATTCGCAGCGAAAAGGGTTTTTGTCGTCGGAACGATGGTGCACCTATATTCACGACAATAATAATTAGTACATTAGTTCCAAGTCCATASCGAATTTCATCTAATTGTATGTGCTTAGAATTTTAGATGTTTTTGAATGGATATTTTTGTTCCTCGGCTTGTTATAGTTTACATTGGGATTTACCGCATGACGCCGAATCAAAGAGTACAACTTTTTAAGACTATTGAATCCAACAATATTTTGATAAAGGTCGAACAGTGATAGTTAATGTGGTATTAGAAAGATCTAATATTTTTACTATTATAATAATTATTAATAAAGACAAACTGYAGTTGAACATTTGATTACAAAACGATAATAATATAAAGATATTACAGTTAGATTATTGTGGCATCCCCAATTTGTGACAAATTTACCTGTGTAAACATTTTATACTTACGACTTGGATTGATACAAATATTTATTTAAAGACACGAATTTTACACAATATAGTAATAAACAATTATTATTTTTAATTTCGAAATTATAATAGTTATAATACACTTTTTTTTTTTTTAAATCGTAGTTAATATTATTATGAGTTTTTTTAAATAATTATGAAAAATACACATTTGCTTGTCTTTTAAACTCAATTTTTATTTTTTAATAGTCATACTTATTAAAATACAACGTAGGTATGATGTGTATGATAGATGAATATGTACCTAATGTAACGAATGTCTGATAAAACCACATTGCGATTGTTCGTATTCAATGAATTGATGAATAACGATATCAGATAACGGAAGTACCTACACTGTAGGTATAATATAATAAAACTGATATAAAACTTATTTTCAGTGTGTCTACGCCATAATGTTCAAAACTTAAAAATCTATAGACTTATAAAAATAACTTCATTGTAAGTTACAACTTATAAGTATCACAACGAATGCCGTGTATTTAAAATATATAAATTAAACCAAGTCGTTATTGTAAAATTTTTGCACAAGTAAATTTTGCACAAATAGGCTGTACCCAAAATGAATTATTATTTTTTTTAGCGCAAATGAGTAATTCTTGATATTCTGTAATAGATAATCCTTYGTATCCTGACTTCAAAGTGTCGACTCATGTCTCACATAGTTCGTTAGTTTGTATTATGTTAACTCACATGATAAGATTAATTTATATATATTTATTAAATCATAAAATAATTTGATATTTTTTACATTATTACTACGGAAAGGGTTAAATATAGGTAATAACAATTGTACTGCATACTGTTCTGCTATATAAAAACGATATAAACTACTATTTTTCATAAAATAAATTATTCTTTTATCATGAGTCTACACAAAAAACTAACGAAYCGAKTTAACTGCACTGAAGTCTTATTTTTATGTCGGTATGTTACATGCTAACAAATAACGAAAAAATGTTTACCGTAATACGAACATCTTTGGACTTGGGTGTAATAATTACCATCATTTGATATATTAAATAATAAATTAAAACGAAATATAGAGAAACATTTTTTCCATCATAACCCTTTTTTATTTTTTACCAAAATATATATTTATGCTTTAAATTTCCGATACCATTTTTATTAAATATATTTMTATACCCTATACTATAATATTAAATAATATTATAAACGATAATTATTATTTTCTACCTACATAATTCAACACAATTTATTTAGCTAATTATGTTTTATAATTATAAGATAATCGTTAATTTTTTCGAACTGAATCATATTCTTGAATCTGTTAAATTGGCTTACTTGTAGTGACTGATAATTAGTGATAAGTATTCTTATGTATAGTAATCGATTTGGTTGATAAGACTTTTTGGTAGAGGTGATAGTCATATTATGTGTTTCTGAACCGATTATTATCGTGGATTTCAGGTGAAACCTATCGGAACAAGTCTGACTACCTGTACCAATTGGACGCTAGTATTCGTTGTCACCTATGTGTCTATCGAGCTAACTCGGTGGCTTGGCTATGCGGGCTGCTTCCTCACATTTAGCATATTTTGCTTGATGGGCGGTGCTTTTGCCGCGTCAGTCATACCGGAAACGAAAAACAAGACGTTGGCCGAAATACAGCTGAAACTCGTCGGAAAGTCTAAGGCCGTCCCTATAGCAGTGGACGTTGTGGAGAAAGTGGAGCAGGTTCAAGCGACCACCACGATTCCATAAATTTCGACTTCTTTCAAGATCTCTGTTGACGTTTTCCGAACGAGAATTACTGATCCATTTAAACAGCACCGTGTTCAAAACCCTATTCCGTCCCCATGTCCCTTRATAATAATATTTATGTGTATTTCTTTTCCATCCACAATTCATTGAAATTTATATGTATACATATGATATATCATAATATAATATGCATTGTTTACAGGCCATCCCTTTTCAAACACGTCTACCGCTGTATTGCAAGAAAAATCTAAATAAATACAATGTTATTCAGCAAGCATTTCATATTTTCATCATTCAATAACAATCAAATTTATTCAAACTCTGATTCTTGGATTTTTTAAGTACTTTTGACTTTATTTTAAAAATTTTGAAATTTGTATACCATTTAGGAAGTGTCTTGTAATGACACGAATTATTTTAATTTTTTTTTTTAAATACTCATGTAGTTGTTTTAGATGATTTTTTTTTAAATATTGAGTATCCAAGATCAAAATTTGACCTACAAGTTACAGAGTTATTTAAGTTTTACACTAGGTACCTATTATAAAGATGAGAAGTCCATGATCATATTAGATATTATTAATAATTTCAGCTATCAATTAGATAGGTAATAGTAATCTTTCAATATTTTATATTTTATAAAAATTGTATGAGGATATAATAATAAGTAGAAGATTAATTATTATGTATATCTAATTTATAGTACTCGTTAAAGATTCAAACATTTATTTTCAAAAAAAAAAAAAAAAAAAAAATCGGCCTAATAATTTACATTAAAAATATAGTTGGTTCATATTTGAGAATGTGGATTAATAATTCAACTTCAAAATTCGAAAAATTTTAGCAAATATAAAACCATTGTAAAAGAAAATCGTCACGTACCTATATATAGGACATGTTCTGGAGTTAAAAGTTGTTGAACCGGCGACGTGTGTTTATTTTTAATCTGAAAATTCGAATTTCTCAAATAGTTTTATAAATCGCAACAACAATTTGACGTTTTCGTTTTCTGCAACATAATTTTTGATTCTTAGATTCARCTTAATTACAATCGAGCGATTTAAAGTTATGTATAATGTTTTTTACGAAAATACTTATTGTTAGTACCTAAGTTAAATTTCAATTGTACATAAACTGAATGACAATATAGCTGATGAGGTAAACGAAATGTGTAGATTAAGACGTGACCCTATCCCTGAACGAATCGCGTGACCATTTATTATGCAGAGGTCGAAAATAAAATGTTTATTATCATGACATTGATGTGTATTATTATGGTCTAACAACAACTTAAAGTTTCAATATTATTCATAAATCATAATAGTTATTCCATATTTATATAACATGCATGCAAACTAAGTTTATTTTATCTGTGTCTTTTAGGTATAGTAATTTATTTTTATCTATAGATACTATAAGTATATAAGTTTAAAAAAAAAAATGCCAGTGAATGAACACTGTGTGTATATCAGTTAGGTTGATCTGTAAACAATTTTGCTTTAGTTATTTTGTAAGTATTCTCCTCACTTGGTCAACTGAATTTGTTGTTAAAATTTATACTATTCAATTTTTAACCTAGGAATTATAAAAAGATATAGAGATAATAATAGTTACATAACATTATTAATTTATAACGGTTAACATATAATTTATTAATAGTGTACAAAATTATGAGAAATTAAAGTATTGCTAAGATTTATATTAATTTTTAACAAATACAGATTACATCAGAACCTAATCAGTTTAATTATTGCAATAAAGGTAAACTTAATATTAAATATATCATAATATGTGAATAATATTGTATTGTTTAATGTTCGAATGAAAAAATATAAATACCAATGAGTAGAATTGTTATGAATATCCATAAAACAAAACGACTTATTCACTAGAAATACTATATCGTTATAAGAAATTTAAAGTTTTTTAAAAACAAAAATGCAAAACTTTAGACAGTTTAATACACATGCAGTACCTATACCTAACCTATACACCACGACCACACTATTGTTATTTTGTACATTATGTCATAATCAATATAATAAATTAACTAGATATAAGATTTTTATTTATTTCATATATAGGTATAAATGTATAGTCAGTTTTTCTCCTGTAGTGACCTATACTAAAAAATTGATTCATGCYTAAAAATTGTAATATTAATACAACAATATTATCATAATATATGTACTTATCCACATTTTTGTTGTTATACCACTTGTTAGATTGATTCGTTATATAACAACAGGAAAACAATTAGAGCTTGTAATATACTAATATAAACATAAACAAAATATCGTAAGATAATTAAATATTAAAATGTATACAATTTGACCTTGATGGAGCGGCTATCAAATTAGAAATGCGATTTGATCGAATGTTATAATACATAAATATCCTGCAAATAAAACGTAGATGATGTATCGATATTGGAAAAAAAATGTTAACAATCCTCGTTCTAGTAGACAACGGAGATCAATGGAAATCGTTGTATTGTCATGTGCACGTCTTATTGTAGTAATGAAAATAATAACGAAGTAGTTGGGTGTGACCGGATATTATGTCCTTTGACCACTGATTTTCATACATTGAGTATTGCGTCGTTAATCGTTATGACGTTTCAAGCTGACCAAAACGTGGGAAAACGCCAAAGAACTGTTTTGTACCTGACTTCAGGATTTTAACTTGTAAGTATTGAGGCGAAACGTCAATAACACAATAAGCTTTGAAACTATTACAAATAGGTTTTTGCCACCAGTGTAATATTTAATATATTTAAATGYTTCCTATTATTACACTGAAATAATAACTGGCATTTTTTATAAACAAATTATTAAGATATATAAAAGAGAATACAGTAGAAGCTACTTATTAGGAACACTTTTGGACTAAGGTGAAATATGTCGATTAACTAATTATTTCTAATAAGCGATTGGTTTTATTTATTATAAAAAAAAAAWTTATAATTTAAAAAAAAGTACCTACATATTATATCAATTGTGAAAAAAATTATATATTATGCAAAATATGTAATTATCGTTGTCTATTTTTTGCATCAAGTAACTTGGTGGCCATGGTTTCGTAAGAATAATGTCCCTCGACAACTTTAGTCTTTCAACCACATGATTCTGAACTGCTCTCTTGAGGACACTTGGAGCTTCTACAATTTCTTTGCTTGATGGGGATGTGCCTCACTGTTTTCTTCTTTRTCGTCAGTGTCAGCCTGATAAAATKTTTGACGRTTTCTGCAACACCGAGGTATCAATCCAATCTTCATACACTTTTCTTCTATGATATATATGTATCATTTGAATTGGCGCAAATATGGCGGGATTCTATGCAGGGGAGGGGGAGTTGAGATCTCTCAAAAAATGTTTAACATCCAAAACACTGTTAAGATACATGGTGTCATAATATATACCGTACAGTATAGATATTTTTTTGAATTTCATCAAAATAACTTATCCTCTCTCCCAAATTTGAAGTCTATTTGTGCCTTTGAATTATGAATTTAAAAATAAGCTTTTCCAAATGATAAAGTAACAGATCATTAAATTACAAAAATTGACATGGAGATGATAAATATCAAACTTTAAAAATAGTGTATTTAGACAAAAGGTATTGCGTAACAAATAATTGTGTTTTTATCATCGGTAATTATATGTGCGCTTATTTTAATTGTATAATAATCGAACATTTAGTTGTACGTAATAAGATCGTATTTAGAAGATAATATCGCAGATCGATATTAGAAATATTCCAATGAATCATCGACAATAATGAATTATACATGTKTATAAGTCTGATTAGAATTCTTAAAGATTCATTGTTTAATGCAAGTAAAGAAGTTTCCAATAAAAAATTCGCACACACTAAATACAACAAACAGAGATAAATAATAACATAATATACGATGTAATAAAATTTTAAGTACCTATAGCTTAGAATCGAAATATATGTATATTATGTCACATGATGACATTGAATTTGGTATTCCGTAKACAATGTTGAAGTTAAAAATAAATATACATAGTAGGCAGTAAATAATAATAATATTATGATGCACTATTAATACTACGAAACCGARAGATACATAATATTAACGATTATATACTAATTGCTTGCTCAAACGTAGTCAAGTGCCTCACGATTGTTATAGAAATGATCATAATATTATGTCGTCTATATTATCTTTAAGACGCTAAAAAAATCGTTTTCTCTCGATGGCCATAGCAATAAAACGTCTTTTTTATGAGACTTATACTGCGGGAATCGCACTACTACTGAGTGTGCATTTCATATTATATCACACATGGTTGGCGTACTCGTCAATTACCCGACTAAAGGTCGTATCATAACTTTAAGATGTACCTACGAAAATTAAAATATTATGTGTAATTATTTTAAAACGTTTGCACAGTGCACACGTTTTAATTATTCGTGATTCGTCATTATAACATTATTAATAATTAATAATTATTATGGACGAATTTAATTTTGTATTTTTTAATAATACATTTCAATACTGCTCGGCMGTGGATCAAAACATTATCATATCGTCCCTGATGAGTGATGAACGTAAATTCGTAACGCATTAAAGATTGGGAACGCGTATGGTTATATCAAAATATCGACTCGGGGACACGGTTTAGTTGGCTACAATATATTCCATATATTACTATTATTATTAATTATCATGTTCRTTGGCCATTTCATGACATAAAAATATAAAATGTCCGCCGAATTGGTCTCGTCAAGTAAATGGTGGTACCTATAATATAACAATAATAATATATATATATATGTATATATTTATATGCGAATAACGGACGTATAACAGTTGAATTAGTATATAGTATAACATCGTACATTCGTACCTATACGGGAATATTATCGTATACCGTAATAACTGTCGAAATATATACTCTTCTGAAAGTCGGATATATTATTTCAAAGATCA